TCCCAAAATTACCCCGCACTGCTCCTTGTTGGCCTTGCAAAAAAATAAACTATCATCCGCAAATAACAGATGTGAAACCGAAGGGCTTGCATTTGCTACTTTGATACCCGTAATTAATTTTTCCCGTTCAGCTTTCCGAATATTCGCAATTAGCACTTCTGTGCAAAGGATAAATAAATAAGGTGAGAGCGGGTCTCCTTGTCGTAAACCCCTCTCTGGTACTATTAGTCCTCTAGGTTGTCCATTAAGGAGAACTCTATATTGGACCGTTGTAATACACCACATTATCCATTTAATCCATTTTTCACAGAAACCCAATTTTCGTAAAACCTTCTCTATGAAAATCCATTCCACCCTATCATAAGCCTTACTCATATCCGTTTTAATTGCCATGAATTTTCCTTTACATGACGGATTAGTTCTCAACCCATGAAATATCTCTTGTGCAATGAGAATATTATCCGAAATTAGTCGTCCTTCTACAAAAGCCGATTGTGTTTCTGAAATCAGTTTTGGTAGAACTGTCTTAAGTCTTTGGCAAAGAATCTTCGATATAATTTTATAGCCAACATTGCAAAGACTTATAGGCCGTAATTCCGTCATCCGTGTCGGTCTTTCCGTTTTTGGAATCAGACAAATATTAGTCGTATTTAACCGTTTATCAAAAATTTCATCCTCTAAAAAAGAGTTGACCAGAAAAAGAAGATCCGTTTTAATAGTAACCCAAGCCTTTTGAAAAAATAAGGTTGTCATACCATCAGTCTTATATTTTTTATATGTTTTATAAAAAACATTTAGAATTTTAACATATATGACATTCTATTTTTTGTTATAAATTACAAAACATCTAAATGTATATGTGAGCAAATCATCTAGTTAGTGTACTTATTTTCCAAACTAAGTTGAAAAAATTGGTGAGTTGAAAATGTGATTGTTGCCAATAAAGACCAGAATTAAAAATAATTAGGTTTGCTTAAGGAAAACGAAAAATAACGTTGACGTTGACAAATAAATAAACTAAAATCTTTTCATTTTCAATTGAGGGTTTTTCTTAGAAAAAAAAATTGAGGGTTTAATCCTAATAAGGTGTCAAATTAAAGTTTGAAATTTTCTGTAGATAAACAAAAAAAGTGATATGAATGAATATTTATACTTTGGACATTGAACAAACATTTTTTTTTTAGCAGACAAATTTTGAGAGAAATTAACACAAAGAATGTGATGAATTTACACTATAAAACATAGAGTTACAGATATGTTAACGGTTAATTTGAAAATATTCACTTCTAAAAATCATCTACTTACAGATTACAATGGTCAAATTATAAATGTATTTTTTTCTTGTTACAAATTGGGTTAACCGGAAAAATTTTGGACCAAAATGTAAATATTAAAAATGTTTGGTTCAGTAGCCTGGGAACATCGGTGGTGGTGGCGATGCATATTGGTGTCCAATGTTTGGTGGGAGGATGAAATTATCGCCGCCGTCGTTGTCTTCCGATGGTGGTGCAGTTACATCTGGTGATGGATTTGAAGATGGCGTCGGTGACGAAGGTGTGGCTATTGATTGTTCTGGTGCTTCAACTTCTGCTCCGCTTGATGGAACTGGTGCTTCAACTTCTGGTTCGGAAACTGGAGCCGAGGAATGATTTGGCTCGGAATTTGGTGATGGAGCAGGACTTGATTTGAACACCGGTGAATGATTTGATTCTGATGGTGCTTCGATGTCCTCAGAGTCTGGGGTCGGAGCTTGAACCGGTGATGAGATTTCTCCTGATTCTGATGAAGGTGTTGGAGCGTTTGCCGTTGGTGTTGTTGCCGGTGATAGAGGCGTTACAGGTTTTGGTGGCGGTGAGAAAACTGGAGGAGGAGGAGAGAAAATAGGTGACGGAGGTGGTGGAGAGTGGACTGGTGGTGGTGGAGAATGAACTGGAGGTGGTGGAGAGTGAACTGGAGGAGGCGGTGAGTGAACAGGAGGAGGCGGTGAGTGGACTGGTGGCGGTGGTGGAGAGTGCACGGGTGGAGGCGGGAAGTGGACTGGTGGTGGAGGAGGAGAGTAGATTGGTGCAGGCGGTGGTGGAGAGAAAACTGGTGGTGGTGGTGGAGAGTGGACCGGTGGAGGAGGAGAGTGTACCGGTGGAGGAGGAGAGTGGACTGGTGGAGGCGGAGAGTGGACTGGTGGTGGTGGCGGAGAGTATATAGGAGGTGGTGGCGAGTAAACCGGTGGAGGAGGAGAGTGTACCGGTGGAGGAGGAGAGTGGACTGGTGGAGGCGGATAGTGGACTGGTGGTGGTGGCGGAGGAGAGAATACTGGAGGTGGTGGCGAGTAAACCGGTGGTGGAGGAGAATGCACCGGAGGAGGAGGTGAAAATACAGGTGGCGGTGGGGAATGAACCGGTGGTGGTGGAGAGTGTACTGATGGAGATTGTGGCGATGGTGTCTTTGTCTCTTCTGTTGATGGTGACGGTGGTTGAGGACGACGTTTTTTAATCGGAGATGCATCGTAAGGATCATTTGGTACCGGTGATTCCAATGGAGGCGAACCCATTTTTGGTGCCTCTGTCTTTGGTGGTTGTTCTTGCTTTGGTGGTTGAGGCTTAGGTGACTCCTCTGGTTTTGGCATCTCTGGTTTTGGCGTCTCTGGTTGAGGAGGTTCCGGTTTAGGAGATTCTTCTGGTTTTGGTGGCTCTTGCTTAGGCGACTCTTGTTTTGGTGACTCAGGCTTGGGTTTTGGTGGCTCTTGCTTAGGAGACTCTTGTTTTGGTGACTCAGGCTTGGGTTTTGGCTGTTCTGGTTTTGGTTGCTCTTGCTTAGGCGACTCTTGTTTTGGTGACTCAGGCTTAGGTTTTGGTTGTTCCGGTTTTGGAGATTCCTGTTTTGGTGACTCTGGCGTAGGTTCCTTTGGGTTGGAAGGCTCATGTGATGGTGTCTCAGGCTTTGGACTAGGCTGTTGTGGTTTGGGAGATTCTTCTGGTTTTGGCTTAGATGGCTCTTCTAATTTTGGTGGGTTAATTTCTTTCTTAGGCTCCGGTGCCTTTGGCGTTGGTTTTGGTGATGGGTTTGAACCACTGCCACCTCCATCACCACCAGCACACTTGTCTTTACTGCAATCCACAGGACGGCTTACCACCGGCAAACATTCTTTAGCCGACTTTTGATTTGGTCTATTCTGTAAGCAATTGCTCATGTCATCAAATTGTTTCTCTTGGCTCGACCCAGGCACACAACTTTGAGCTTCTCCATTGAAGAAATTGTAAGAAAATGTGAAGTTCGACAATTTGGGCAACTTGCAGATATTGTCTGTGACAAATCCGGTGAACTTATTGTACGAGAAATCCATTTGTTCCACGTTGGCTAAGCCCGACAAGGTCGATGGTAAACTTCCGACGAACCCATTGCTGCTAGCATCAAACACAGTCACATTGTTCAACGAACCGATTTCGTTAGGTAAGCAACCACTTAGGTTGTTCCCAATAAAAACAATCTCGTTGAGGTTCTTCATCTGGCCAATGGTTTTTGGGATGCAACCGCTGAATTTATTGTGTGCGAAGGTCACGACGGAAGCAGTTGATTTACCAATTGTCTCGGGGATGGTCGACTCGAATCTATTGTTGTTCAAGAAGATGGCGTCAAGATCTTTATCAAAGATCTCTGGTGGCAATTTCCCTTCAAAATCATTGTATCTTATGTCAAGGAACTTCAAAGACGGCCAAGAAAGAGCAACCGTCGGAAACGGACCAACGAACCGGTTATTGCTCACGTCAAATTCGTACATTAACGTTAGCTTTGAAAGACTTTTCGGAATAACTCCGCAAAACCTGTTGGAGTTAATGTGAAACAAGGCGACATCTGTCAATAAACCTAGCTCAGGTGGCAAGTATCCGGCTATATCCGCATGGTTAAGGTCAATACCCGCCACAACCAATACGCTTGGGTCGTCAAGTGCTGGTGCACAGAAAACTCCTTTGTAAGAACACACGTCTGGACCAACCCAATTAGCCGCAGTGTTGAACGGATCGGAGTAGAATGCCTTTTTCCAAGCTTGAAGGGCAATGTAAGCCCTTTTGAGTCGGTTATTAGCAAATTTGAGGTCTAAATCGACTTCATACTCCATGTCGTCAGGAAGATCTCCGTTTTCTGATAATGCCAAAAGTTGGCGTCTTGTGAGAAACGAAGCTTCCTCATCGGTGAGAGCTGCTGCGGAGTAGAAGAAAATGGAGATGGTGAAAAAAACGAGGAGAAGGAAGCAGCCAAAAGGCTTCTCCATTGTTCTTCGGGTCATGGTGATGAAAAACCTTGGAAATGGCTCTTTGGCTTGCTTAATAGATGAATGTTGTGGAGAGAAAGCCTATAATGAAACGAAGGCAAACAGAAACCACTGGATTGTTTTCCTATTTTTGGTATAACAAAATTTATATAGACTAACGTTTTTAAGGATACGAAAATAGCAAACTATTGTAGCTAATATAGAATTAGAGGTCGTTGACAACGTCTTTACAAGTTTTGTTTGTTTTACCATTATTGATATTTGGACGACCAATATTTTTTACAGTCTGGAAAAAGTAAAAACTCTTTCTTAGTGTTGTGATATGTGAACATTTCCATTTTTATTTGATGTTTGCGTTTTAAACTCTTGGGAAAACAGTGAAACAAACATTGTTTTCTAAATTTGCTGATATTATAGGCTATATTTTTTTACACAACCAAACACGTTTACAAGTACGAAATTGTAGAAAATTTTTCTTTTTTTGTTAAGAAAAAGTCTTTATTAGTAGTATAGTATTTGAAGAAAATTTCCAAGGATTAAATCAAGAAAATGATTCCATCTAGTATATCTGTTTTTATAATCAATTATAAGAATGATCAAATAATATCTTTGTGACATTCACATAAGAACTGTTCAATATGTCAACACCTCATTTTTTAGTTTCTAGTTTCTACTATATAATTGTTTTGATTATTCTTTCATCACAACTCTCGCAATAAAGTCAAAAGAAAAAATGGTGAGCAAAACAAACAAATACTTAACCTCAATTCTTGTGATATTGATCAGCTTATACTACCGTCCTATCTCCGCCACGCAACATGGCCGGGCCCATTTCGTGTTGGTTCATGGAGCCGGCCATGGGGCTTGGTGTTGGTATAAACTCATACCAATCTTGAAATCTCAAGGCCATAACGTAACTGCGGTCAACTTAGCGGCGTCCGGGATCGATCTACGACAGGCTGAGACTCTACGGTCTGTTGCGGAGTATATTGGGCCCTTGATGGGCCTAATGGAGAGTCTAGGTGAGGATGAGAAGGTGATTCTCGTGGCACATAGTTTGGGTGGGCTTGCTATTTCTAAGGCCATGGAGATGTTCTACAAAAAGGTTCATATGGCTATTTTCGTCACTGCCCTAATGCCTGGTCCGACCTTCAATTTCACTTTGCTTTCTCAAGGGGTATGTTAATAATTACATGCTGCTTTGTGCTTTCACTTGTTTTCGAAAATAATAATCCTTGTTTTAATTCTTGTTGTGATTATTTTTTTTCTTCAATAATTCTGCAACTTTTTGTAAGTTGGTGAGGTGGCAAGCTCCACAACTGGATTTGAAGTTTGTGTTTGGAGATGGGCCTAATAAATCTCCTACACTTTCCATTGGAGGCCCACTTTTTATTTCATTGACTATGTATGACCGTAGTCCTAAAGAGGTAAACACAAATTTCAAATTTCTTACATTTTTATTGAAAAATACACAACTCTCGTGCTTAAGTAAGCCATGTATTTTTTTAGGACGTAGAATTAGCGGCGTTATTGGTACGGCCACAACGGTTATTCAGCAACGCAGATATAGATACAAGTCTTGTACTCACGCCGGAGAGATTCGGGTCGGTAAATCGGATCTTTGTCGTGTCCGAGAAAGACAAGTCATTAGTGAAAGAGTTTCAGCTCTGGATGATCAAGAACAACCCTCCTAACCACGTGGAGCATATCCAGAATTCTGATCATATGGTCATGATTTCTAGGCCGCTAGATCTTGGTGCCTGTCTATTGTCTTCGGCTAAGAAGTTCGCTTGATTTTTTTTTCCAACATTTTGTTATAAAATATGTACCAAAGAAAACATGATTTGTAAGGCCAACGCTGGATTCCAAGTTTTATTTTACTATTACATGGTTGATCAATTCTATTCATATGTTTCACGAGCCACTTTGTTATATTTTTGTATATATACATACATTGCCATGCAGTATGTTTGACTTTTCAACTTTAGCTACTACTAGTACTAGTAGATTAATGTTTCACAAAACTAAGTAGTTGACCACTATAATTAGCATAGAACTATGGACCCTGAGAAGATTAAAATCTCATCGATCAAAATTTAGTAAATAAAAAAAAGATACGTCCTTTAGCTCCAAAAAAATTACTAAATGAAACCAAAGTTTTTTTTTGAAGTCTAAATTGAAAGCGCTTTTACTTTTCCCATTTAAGATTCGATGAACTTTTTTCATCTGAGACCTAAATAAGTAGTTTCAAGAACATTAAATCCAGATTTAATAGTTTGACACATTTTTTCTTATAGACCAATTAACTTAATTCACACCTCACGATTCTGATTATCTCCACAAAAGATGATACTTTTTTTTTGTGTATAATTTGGATTATTTTTTCAAATCTCACCTTGCAAAGATGGAGATTTTTTTCTTTAAATTGTCATTAATAGATTAACTATACTGGAAAGCTTATTACATATTTTATGATTGTTTTGTAGTGGCAAATCTTTCAAAGCTGTGATTAGTATCCTCAAATTCAATAGATCTTAAAGAAAGTTAAAAGCAGTTAATACTCAAAAATCAATAAACGTCCACGATTTGATTCATCTGTAAACTCTTCATTATCTTTTGGTTATGCTTTATACACAAATCAACAACATCCAAAACGCCACAAGGCACGAGAACTACTAACTTTAACGAGGCCAAAACCAAAAAAAAAAAAAAAACTAAGAAGCTCATCACATGAATCCAACAAGAGGAATGGGAACGGCGGCGTAAGTATTCCGGCGACCACCGTGAACTGCTGTAAGCGACGGTTGAGGCTTACGGAAAGCTTCTTCTACTGATTCAGCAACGGTGGCGACGAAACCAACAGCTATTTTCACCAATTCGATGCAAATCTCTAGCTTTTGAGACACCATGTTGTACGTACTTAATTCGTAGGAGAGAAATAAAAATGTTTTTCTTTTCTTCTTGTTTCGTGTTTTGCGCTTTTGAGGGTTTTTTGTTTTCTCTATGTTTTCCGCGTCTAGAGAACTCTTGTCTTTGTGAGTCGTCTTACTTGCAAAAGCCAGAGTTATATTTATACAGACAATCATCAATCCATGTACACTTTTTTTTTTAATGAATAATGGATTATGATAAATTTGATAATTGGTTGGTTGATATGCCATGTGGCATTTGATTCGCTACCAATTTTTTCTGGGAAGATGCTTTGTTGTTGTCCTTTGGTTTATACAAAGAGCCAATATTATTTGGGGGCATTTCTCTACATACATATGTGTAAATATACGTCTACATACATATGTGTAAATATACGTCTAACGTCGCATGTAGGAGTCTTGGGAACGGTCGAGGGGACGGAACGGGTGCATAATAAGTGTGTTTGTATATACTTTATCGTATATCCGAGCATGCAAAGATAGGTTTTACGTACGATTAATAAAAAAGAAAAAAAGAGGAAGAAATATTTAAATTCGATCCAAAATGGAAAATAATAAGTCAAGCAGGAGATAGCTAAATTGATAGTCTAATGAGATATTTTCCTAGAAATACTTTTGTCTGGAGTGTAGATATGATTTATTATTTCAATCTTTTGAATCAAATAAAGAGGAATTGAGTTTATCAAAAAAATAAAAAATAAAGAGGAATTGTAACGCATTCATGTCTATAATCCACGTGGAAACGTATGTTAATTATGATATACCTATGTTTTAAGAAATGATCATACACACGGTTTGGTTGAATGGATGAGGATGAAAATTTTGAACCAATAGGACACGAAGACAATAGGACCACTTGATGTTGTTTTGATTGAATATTTAATGAATACTTTTGATTAACTTGCGTGGATCTTATACTTGTTAATTTCCTATGTTCCCCTTCACAGTGTAACGCTGACTAAGACTTTCATTAGTTTATATACATACATATACATCAAATGATGTAAGTTGATACTTTATAATGAGGAATCAAATGATTCTCAATATTTAAAATCAAAAAGTGTTGATCATAAAGTGCATGAGATAATGATTATTAATTACTTTTTATTCTCGAATGATTGGTAGTTTTTTATTACACAAAGTCGAATATCTTGATGTCACTATATTTTTCGATATTTGCAAATATGGCTTATTGCTAAAACAATGTGATCTTCGTCATGAAATCATACTGACCCAAAATGAAGAAAACTATCACAAAGTCTAAAATAATTAAAACGATTAGTTTCACTCTAATTCGATTTCTTTTACGAATTTAGCTAGAACAACTCTTAACTAAACTCAAAACAATAAACAAAAAGGTAAAAAAAAAAAACACGGGGTTCTAAAACTAAAAATCCAAAGATATGGGTGTATATCTATTTCTGCTTAATTCGTGGGATTGAAATGGAAATCAGTAGAGTGATCGATGGGACGTAGCACCAAACTGTCCAAACCCCAAAAAAATGCATAATTGAGAAATTAAGTAGTGCATATTGTTGCGACTTGCAAGTAGCATCTCAGCCATTCTTTCTTTAACTCTAAGCTTTAATTAAACAAAACACCAAAATTAGCTAACCATATGTTTTAAGAGCCCTCTTACCAAAAAAAAAAAATATATGTTTTAAGAGCCCATGGAAATTATGCCACGTGTATTCGTCGTAGTTGTTGAAGTTCCTCCTACTTTCCTCTTTTTTTTTTTTTTTTGCCGTCTAAAGATCTTTATTAATGAAAAGGAATAAAAAATCCAACAAAACAAAACATCCAATATCAAAAAACAGAACCCCACAGAACAGGGCAATCATAGTTTGAAAATCTTTCCATCTCTTTCATCTTCGCTTTTCCGCTTCAAGCCGTGAACTTAACCACGCCGGACCACCACGACTTTCCTCTTTTTTAAGATCAAAAGTTCTTGTTTTGTCTAGTGCTGATTAAACAAAAAAATTAGTACAAAAGCCAAAAATTTTAAAGTAGCCAATAGACAATATATAAAATCTCATTACGAGATTCTAACATCTACATGGCTTTATCAAAGAAAGTTGGAAATACACTTGTAGCTTTTTTCAAAAACATGGTTGGATTAGTGAATATGATCGTCAAGTTAGCCGAGTGTAACAATATTCACTTTGTTCTAGAGTTATCATAAAAACAGATGAATAAAACCTGGTGATTGTTTTATCGAATTTGAATTTAAAAGAATTTTCATTATGTGAAAGACCTACAAATCGCCATAAACTATTTAAAATCCTTCCATGCTATGTTATATTGAAAGACACGCACAAGCGAAGCAAAATCTTCCCTAACAAATGTTTGTTTAGCAACTTGGATAGGAGATTATGCGGAATGCGTGTTATATTCTTAAAAAAACCCTCTAAAGTCTAATTATAGTGTATATAAAATAAAGATTACGGAAACGTAAGCAAATCTTATGATGCATGGCGACCTTTAAAGACCACATCTTCCTTTTTGATTTTTCTATTCTTGATCAATTTTATCCACTTATTCCCCTAATTTCTTTCATATAAAAAAACTTGTTCTATAAAAAGAGCTCGTAAAAACGAATTTAAACTAATGATGACCAGAATTTAAACGAATTTACCTTTTGGTTTGTTCCGATCCACTTCAAACTAATTTGACTAATATCTAAATATATTTATAGGTGTACAAGTGTGTATATACAATAAATTTCAAAAGCAAACATGCAATTTAAAAACTTTAAGGCTGTGATCAAAATTCAGGACCACCAAAGACTTTTTTCCTCTAAGACATATAATTCCATGAAAAATTACGGTATATGAAATAAGAAGTTTAAGTTTTATGCAATTGCAAACCCATCGTAGATAAAACGAAAATCCAGGATCAAGGTAACTCGTGCAAATTTATCACAAGACTTTGCAATTTTGTATAATGTCCATCGTGATCAGATAAACCAGAATATTAATCATACGCATAAGGCTCTTAAGTATTTTGGTAATTTTACATTTGTACTTGCTAGTTTAGCTTAACTATATAGCCCACACGTAAGTGAATAATAGTAATTTGCATACACACGACACAAGTCACAACACATTAAAAATGAATTGTACAAACGAGACTAATTTTTTTTGTCAACATCATGAGAGTAATTTTGTTAAACATTTTATTATATGAGAAACATACTTATTATCCTTTATAGTATAAAATATTAATGTTTATTACCAGAAATTTTCTGGTTAAAATTATTTTTTAATTTGCGTATGATCATGATCATGTTAATGTTATATCCGTTTGCGTCTTGTGTAATGCAATTATAGGGAAAAAATTGCATCATCAAAACTATTTCGATATTCTAATTTTCCATCGTGCGTAATTTTATTATCATGTACACTGATTTCTATTCTAATTTAAAATTTCTTCCATTAACAGAAATTAATCGTATTTTACGTGTCAGAAGTATAGGCAGGGCTTTTGCAATGCAAATCATTAGGAGCTAAGCTAAACAATCTATCTCAATGAGTCACTGGAATCTACTATACCTTTCTCTGCTTCTGTTAACTCATCTCTATATTCTAGCAACAAGCGATCACATTTTACCAGCAACTCATCTGCTAAAGGCGGTATTACCGGGTTACGCCCGTCATTGTAAAGATGAGCATTAAACTTGATCTGCCAGACATCGTGTCTAAATTGCTCTCTGTCACTGTACTCCATCCTCCGTACCTTATCCCGGATTGTCGAGAGATCCATTGGGCGTTTCACAATGTCAAGATAGTTGGGAGCCTCCTTTTTCGAAACTGGTTTCAAGAAGAGGTATGACACGCTTACCTCTTTGGCTCTCAGTGTGTCCAC